ACAGCTGGGCCCATGGATCGCTGTGGATTATTTTGCATGCTTCTGGTCAGAAAGATGCTCTGTTTTCTAGAAGCTTCTTCCACAGTTGGGCCCATGAGTCGCTGTGGATTATTTTGCATCCCTCTGGTCAGAAAGATGCTCTGTTTTCTAGAAGCTTCCACAGCTGGGCCCATGAATCGCCATGGATTATTTTGCATCCCTCTGGTCAGAAAGATGCTCTCTTGTTTTCTAGAAGCTTCTTCCACAGCAGGGCCCATGAACCACCGTGGGTTATTTTGCATCCCTCTGGTCAGAATGATGCTCTCTTGTTTTCTAGAAGCTTCCACAGCTGGGCCCGTGAATCACCATGGATTACTTACCCCCAAACATGAGTTTCTGCAACTTCATTTACTGAAAAGTTTCTCTCCTCAAACTAGAAGTTTCCAGTTCTTTCCTCCAGAATCTAGAGGTTCTATTTGGTTCTTGGGGTCTGTTAGCTTGTTCTTGGAGACAGTTCTGAGTGTGTCCTGTGTTCCGTAAACAAACAACGACAGGACTGCTGTGTCCGCACGCATTGGGATCACCGTGGTCACTCCAATCTGCCCTTCTTCGTGCCTGATTATTTTCAACTCTGCATTTGTGAACCATTACGCTTGCCTTTGAGAACTGGGGCAGTTCCTTCCAGAAAGGGTTCTTTTAACGTCTGCTGGCCCAGAAACACCAGACCTGCCGTTTGTGGTCTGAGGCCCAGGACCCAGGCACGGACTCGGGCCCTCTAGTCCCCACCTCTGCGCAGGAGCCAGCCAGCCCCCACTTCCTGGGGCAGGCGGACGGGTCCAGGTTCGTGTGGAGGCCCTCCTCTTAGGCACCCACCGCCCACCGGCTCACGGCCCTGGATGTCCACATCCGCGGGATGGACGCGGAGTCTCGCACCGCACTGCCTTCCTGGGCTCCTGTGGTTTGTCTCGCCCTGGTCACATCTTCCCAGGCTGTCCCATTTCCACCGCTCCTCAGGAGGGAGGCCGACTCCCGTGTGGCGGCTCCTTGCAGTGAGTTAGAGCCCCTAGCCCAGTCACACTGTCACCTGTGGTTGCACATTTGCCCGGAGGCTCACTCTGACCATGCGCCCCCCCCCCCTTTGATGTGTAGTATTTTCACTGACATTCAATTAAAAGTATTTCCTAACTTCAAATAGCATTTCTTCTTTGGCCCACGTGTGTTTTTAAAGTTCCTAAATGTTCTTAAATTGTCTCTTTGTTACTGAGGGCCTCCTTTGTTGCACTGAGGGCCAAGAACGTGATCTGTATCATCTAACCTTGCTGCTAAGTTACTGGAATCTTCTGTGTCCTGGTACACAGTCAGCTTTTAAAAAGTTCGTGTGCACTAAGCACATGTTCTCAACATTTATTTATTTTTGGGACAGAGAGAGACAGAGCATGAACGGGGGAGGGGCAGAGAGAGAGGGAGACACAGAATCGGAAACAGTCTCCAGGTTCTGAGCCATCAGCCCAGAGCCTGACGCTGGGCTCGAACTCACGGACCGCGAGATCGTGACCTGGCTGAAGTCGGACGCTTAACCGACTGCGCCACCCAGGCGCCCCAAGCACATGTTCTCTCCAAAGGGCACAAGGAGATCACACCTGCTGTCTGCAGTGCATCTGTGTTCTCCATCAGTGACCTGAGCTGCTGTGCGGAGAAGCTGGCACAGGGGTGGCGAATTAAACAGAAATGAGACATAGAGGGTAAAAGCCAATGAAAGAAAACTAACAAACAATGGAGGGAAATCAGCAAAGCCGAAGCCGGCTCTGGGGGAAAATGTCTAAAACTCGACAAAGCCTCGGCTAGACTGACCAGGGGGTGGGGAAAAGGGGGGACAGCAGAATCCAGCAGCAGGAACAAAAATGGGGCTCCACCGCGGACCCGACAGGCATCAAGGGAACAACTTTACGCCAACTGTTTTGACAACTCAGATACAGCCCTGTATCTAGCCTTAAAAACCGAGTTCTTAATCAAACTCTTGGCACCAGGGACACCGTGGGCCCAGGAGGCTCCAGCAGGAAGGCTGGGGCACGTCAAGGGGGAAGGAATGCCACTCCTGCGCTGGCCACGGCAGAGCCTGGCAAGGGACGCTCCCGGCTCGCCTCAGTCCGATGTGACAGCAAGTGTGACGCGCTTCACGCGGCAAGAACAAGGCCCACGGGCCCGTGTCCCTCCGGGGTACACGCAAGCGAAGGCATGGCGCTCGGGGAGAAGCGACACGAGAGGGCGTGCGGACACGCGGGGATCCGGGACGCAGGGCGTGAGGTCATCATATGAAAACCACAAACCGAGGTGAGAAGACACCACAGACAGTGGCATTCGGCACGAAACACGCGGGGAGAAATGCAATGAAAACGTGCAGCGTCTGTGTACAGAGAGACGCAGGGCGGGCTAAATAAACGGGGCACACACAACGCGAGAGGCTCGAGACTCGATCCCAGGATGTGGATTCTCCCCAGAGCGAGCCGCGTACTCAAGGTGACCCCTGTCAAAATTCTAGTCGCTTTTGCAAAAACCAAGAAGCTGACTCCAGGATACACACGGAAATGCTAAGACCCGGAATGAATCTTTAACAACGGGAGGGAAACGCACATCCCGATTCCAAGCCTTGTTCTAAAGCTACCGTAATGGGGACGGCGATAGCACCAGGACAGTCTAGAAACAGCCACACCTGTGTGTCACTTGAGTTTTCACAAAGGCACCAACCCAGGAAACAAAGGGGAAGACGCGTGTTTGAAGAGGGCACTGGAACATGAAGCAAGTGGCCGCCCGGCGGCAGCCGGGCACCAGGCCGCCCTTCAGCGGCCGAGGGCGTGCAGTCAGGTGCAGGGCCCCGCTGGACGGAGCGCACATGCGCAGCGAAGCGCCTCCTCGCGGTCGGGCTCCGTGTGCGGACGGTCGAGCGCAGGCAGAAGCGAGCTCCGGGGAGAAAGGCGGGTTCGCCCGCGGGCGGGGGGCTCGTCCTCGGGCACCTGCAGCCGTGAGCGCACACGGGGCAGATGGACGCGCGCCTGGGCTGCGGGGTGCGCGCGCCCCCTCCTCGGCGCTCGAAAAGTCACCAAACCCCGGGGACGGGCCACCCCGCCAGCGGAGCCCTCCAACGCGCAGCCAGAACATCCAGTACACTGGACCCCAAGCCTCTCGCGCCGTCCTGCCGGCCAGTGGCACCGCGAAAGCAGTCGGGGCCATCCTGCACGCTGGGGTGAACGCACCCCGCGGGACCATCGCTACCACCAGAAGCCTGCAGGGCGCATGCGCACACGGGGACGTTCACCACGGGGCTCCCAGCCTGTGTTACCACCCAGACCCGGAAACAACCCGACTCCAAAACCTCCAACAAGCGCACCACGGAATACTACGCGACAGCGGAAAGGTACACGCTTCTGTGAAATGATATGATTGCATCTCGACACGCCAGCTAGAAGCCACACTGCCCCCAACCCCACACAACTGTGCGCTCTCATTTCTTGCCCATGAAGTTCAAACAGGGAAGCCCAGCTTTACTGAAATCAAGAAAGCGATGCCTGGGTCAGAGACAGACTGGGTGGTTCGAACAGCAGGCGTCTGTCAGTTCTGGAGGCCGGAAGTGACGATCAAGGTGGGGGCAACGGGGTTCTGGCGAGGCCTGCTTCCTGGACCACAGACGCAGACTTCCTGCTGCGTGCCCGCACCGTGGAGGGCCAGGGGGCTCTCGGGGGCCTCTTTTCACAAGGACCCTGGTCCTGTGTGCAGCTCCTCCCTCATGATCTGATCACCCCAAGGCCCCATTCCTGACACCCTCACCGTGGGAATTAGGTTCTGGTGTATGAATGTGGGGGGGGCCACAGGCCACGTGGTCAGCTGTAGGAGAGGAGTATAGTGGGTCATCTCCACTTGACCTGGGGTTGGGTTCCTGAGCACCCACTCGGGAAGACTCCGGCCTGGGGCCCGACACAGCACCGGCTTCCTCCAGTGGCAGAGGCAACGACAAACCATGAAGACCCGTCTGGTTCTCTGGCACCTCTGACTGGAGGCCAAGAGCTCCCTCAAGTCGGTTTCTTGGATGGTAAACTGAGTCAGAGGTCCTATTCTGTTTGCCCCCATGTCCTAGGCCCGACCTCCTCCTGGGCCCTGCACCCCACACAGAGGCGCTCAGAATGTGTGTGGCCTGGAGTGCGGAGGCCTGGCGACCGGCCCTTCTCTCGGCCTTGGCTGTCACCTGAGCCGTCTGTCACCTTGCCCTGCCCTGCCCGTCAGGCCTGGCAAGAGCCATGTGCGCTGTGTTGGGAGGGCCACCCCGGCAGACCTGGTCAGGAGATACGACAGGGGCCCAGGGTGAGGCTCCTGTGCGGGGGAGCACAGCAGGAAGGCCCGCCCCTCGCCCGGTGGCCCACACAGGAGCCTGTGGTGGGGCCACCCCCCTGCTCAGCTTTACCGTGTCCTGACACACCCGGTTAGCACGCCACCCTTGCACCGGACTCTTCCCGCAGTGACGGCCAAAGGGATGGACTGTTTGGCGGACCCCAGCGTTCCCGCTGAGACCCGGATGTGGCTGATGCCGCGGGGCAGCACCGGGGTCAAGCCTCTTCCAGGTTCAGCTCTGAGAAGCGTGTCAGGTCCCTGTGTGGACCGTCTGCCGTGAGGCCAGAGAATGGTCCCGCAGAGCCATCACCCCCGACACAGTAGGGCACTCGTGCTGGACACGGAGGCCCCGTGGGCTCGTGGGCTCTTCCCAAGTCCAGCCACAGAGGTGGGCAGGGAGATGCCGGCTGAGCCCCCAGCGGGCCTGGGCCAGGTCACCCCCAACTCAACTCCAAATCGTCAGAGCAGGGGGACCGTGGCCCTGGGGCCCCGGGCCCCTCCCACATCACGTAACAGAGAAGCCGGGGAGTGAGGTGTGGGGGCAAAAGAGAAACGAGACGCAGGTGCAGTGAGACCACCAAGACGCGTCAGATCACGTCAGACGATTTAAATCCCGCGACATGTTTTTCCGGACGCGGTATCTCCAGGGGCAGATTCACGAGTCCGACACGCCCCCATCGGGCACTCGGGGAGTCGGAGCCGTCCTCCCGCACCACGGACGCCCGGCCAGTCCCCGGCACGCCTCCTCCAAGGTTCTGTTCGCGTCAAGCGCCGCCACGGAGCGCCTGGGCCCGTCCTTGGGCAGACCCCGCCCGGCGCCCCGCTCCTCCCCGGCCTTCAGAGTTCGTTGTGGCGCGCTCTGGAGATGCGGCCCGACAGGTCCTGGAAGTGCTTCTTCACCTGGAAACGAGGGCACAGTGTGAGCCCAGCGGCAACGCGCCCGACAACCACACGCGCGGTCTTAAAAGTGCAAACCCCTGGGCTTCCTGCTTGTCTCCATTTACAATTCCACCCGTCCGGAAACGGCCAAAACCAAATCCCAAAAGCAGCGAACACCGGCTGGGACACCACCACCAAATACTAACGACACACAGCGGGAGACAGATCACCCCGGAAAACAAGAGAAACGTATCTGTCGTCCACCCCGCTGGCTTTCAGAAGCGGCTCCCTCTGGGAACCCGCCGCCGGCCCCGGCCCCACGGGGTCCGTCCCGCCTGCTTCCCACCCAGCACGTGCCCTTCTCCCACAGCAGCGAAGCTTGCCTGCCCTCCCCCACGACAGCGGACTCCCCTCTGCAAATTCTTGCCCCGCGATGTCACTCTGGAACCGACGTCCCCTGCGGGCACCTGCCTCCTCCCCGACGCTGCACCACACGCAGGCACAGACCCACACACACGCTCGGTGCCGCTTCTGCCCTATTTCACTTAAAAGTTTGAGTGTGAACAGGTAGGACACCGTGCGGCTCCAGACTCAGAGGCACAGAAGAAGATCCCTCCTCCCTCCCTCCCTCCAGAGACAACCCATCCCATCTGTTTCCAGAGTGTTCCATACGTCCTAGGAACAGCCTAGGCTCGAGCCCTCCTCCAAGCGTCCACACTGCCCCGCTGCCTTTTTCCTGTGGAGTCTGACCCAGGGGCTCTCCTCTGTCAAGAGCCCAACCTCCGTGCCTGGACGGGCACGTGATTTGTAGGTCGCCGGGAACAACCGAACTGGCCCCAGAGTGACCTCACTCTGCTCAGGCCACCTGCCGCTGCCCTGGGACGGTTCCCATCCTCACGAGACCAAACGAGGCCTCCACACGCACCACACCAGATTCTCAGGGGACCCCCTGCCGCGAGCACGCGAATGTGCCAAAGCCACCGCCCCACACGCGCGGGCCCTCGCCCACGTCCCACACAGGGTCACCCGATCGAGTACGAGTTGGTCCACGGGTGTCCCTGGCTCTAAACAGGCCCAGAGGAGAGGGCTCGGCCCTGCCCCGGTGGGAGCAGGCGTGTGGCTGCAGCCGGTGCCCCCACCAGGCGCCCCGAGGAGCCGACGACCCCCCCCCCCCCCCCCCACAGAGGAGGGAGCGGTGCACACGCGGGGCCAGGGAAGCTCTCCGGGAGGCCGCAGTCCTGGTGCAGACGTGACGGTCACCTGCCGGCCCCCCGCAGACCGCGCGCCCACCTTGTAGCCCAGCTCCTTGGTCTTCTCCTCCAGCATGGCGTATTTCTCTTTGTTCCGGCTCACGTGCTCTTGGTCCCCAAAGCTCTCCACGTGCTTCAGTTTCTGGTGAGAGATTTCCAGCTGCTTCTGGTAGTGGTTGTGCTTTTCAATTTTGGCTTCAAAGTGCTTAAGCTCCTCCTAGAATAACGTTTGAACAGCCGACTGTCCCCCAGTGGACTCCCCGGGCAGACCTTCCCGCTGCCCCAGAACATGGGCGGCAGCCGCCCGCCTGGGGCACGGACCCGGTCCCGCTGGGGATGGGGCTCAGCGCGGGAAGCAGGGGGCTGCCCCCTGAGGGCGCACACACCGAGCCCCTCCACGTGCGGCCTGACGGGGCAGCTCCAGGGGGCCATCCCCACTGCCCCCTGATCGGGAAGGTGGAAGGGGAGCACGCCCACGGGCGGAGGCGCCCGCCACAACCTGACGGCCTTCGCGGGCCACCTGCCCACACCTGGCACCTGCACCCCGCCCTCAGCGAACGGAACCTGCCAGGCATCTGGCTCCCTCTGGCCCCGACCCCACATGCAGCCTGACACCTGGGGCTTGGGCTTCGACCACGACTGCACTGCTCGGTCTTCTCCTCTGTCCCTTCTGGAGCAGCCACCATCTTGGGAAGGCTCTGCGACACTGCCCTTCCTGCCCCTCCTGCCCGCACAGCGCTCTCGGGTCAGGCTCGCTGGCTAATCCCCCACATCCTGATCTCGGCTAACTGGTCAACCCCTTGGGACCTCCGAGGGGGGCCAAGCGCCCTGCCCAGGGCCCATGAGAGTCAACAACATGCTTCCCTCTGAACTGGGCCGAGCTCCACAAGGACGGGCCTGCCCAGCCAGCTGCAGACGGACGCCGGTACGGGGACCTCTGCTGGGCACCCGCCGCCCTCCCTGCTGCGTCTCCTGCCGTAGCGTCCTGGTTCTCCCGCCCGCCGAGGACTCCTCGGAGTCCCCCCTTTCTGCCCTCCCTGACCCCGGGGCTGTGGGCCCACCCCGCACACGTGAGCTCAGCAGCGGCCTCCAGGGCCCACATCTCGGAATGGCCTCTCACCCCACGGGCCCTACTCGGAGCCCCACACCCCCAGGCTCCTGTCCTAGCAAACGGCGGCCTCTCGCCTGTGCCCTTCTGATGCCCGACCCGCTGGCCTGTGGCGGCTTGGTCACAGCATGACCGGCAGAGGCGACACTCAGGGAACCCAAAGGCCTTTCCCCCTGGGCCCACTGCCAGGGTCTGCCGTTCTCCTTCCGGCCTTCGTGACCCGCGCGCTTCCTCACCAGCCCTCTGTCCTCAGACCCAGCGCACCCAAAGCTGAGCCGGACCCTCCATTCGCTGGAGGCCAGCGCTGTGCAGACGTGAACACGGAGGTCCCACATGGCTGCCAGCCAGCACGGTGAGGGACGCGGGGGACAACAGGGAAAAAAAACCTGTGAAAACCCTGGCCTGTGTCAATCCCGGTACGGGGAAGAGTCTCGCCACGCCAGCCCAAAGCTTAAAAGGTGCTACCGGGAACCGTGAGCCGGCGTCTCCCGGCACCTTGCTTACCCGAAAGGACTCTAGCTCCTTCTCAGTGAAGTTGGCGGACTTGGCCATGTCCCACAGATCTATCACTCGGGGTTCCTCGAACTCTGGCAGAAAGGCAGAAGCAGGCCGGGTGACTCTGGCGGCACCCCCCATGATGCCCGGGGCAGCGTGCACGTCTGGACATGCGTGTGTCCGGTGCCCTCGGGAAGCACACTGAGTGTCGTTCCCATGAGCGTTCAGTCTGTGGCTCAAGGCCTCGTTAGCACGCGGCCCTGGCGACGCTCTCACTGCCCCGGGTTGCACACGAGCATTAACCCGCACCTCTGACAGGGAGGGTCTCCCTTGGTGCACAGCCCGCTCGGGCAGGAGTCGGGGGAGAGGGCGCGGGAGTCTTGGGGCCTCTGGGTCAGGACTGCTGTCAGGCTACCCACGGTTCCGGGCTGAAACTCAGGCCACTGCCTGTCCTGTCTCCAGGGCAAAACCAAGCACCTGAAAGGGACTCCTGACCCCAGCCAGCACTCCTGTGAAGACATGGCGATGGGGGCCCTGCTGGGCCAGTCACCTGTCCTCCAGCCCTGGAGGAAGCCCGGAGCAAGCCAGGCTCAGCCGCCTGCCCCTCCCTCAGCGGACCCTTCCTGCCCTGGGCCCTCAACGGGCTTCGCGGGGAGTGGTCTCGAAGGACCGGGCGGACCACAGGGGAAGCAGAGTGGTCGGTTGGGTCCCTCCTGGGAGGGAGTGGTTCAGGCAGGGAAGGGGAGGGGCAGGGGTGGAGGGGGCAGGGGCGGGGCAGG